TAAATGATTTTCACACGTTTTAAATCGTAAGTGATTTGGTACAAGTGAACGAAAGCACTTTCTCCCTTAATTATTTTTTTCTTTTAGTTTTTTTCCTTATACTAACTACTCCTTGACTTAAACCTTTCCTGATTTGGGGGTGTGGGGACACTCTTGTATATTCTGGAACAACCACTGGAATAATTTCAGAATTATGAAACATTTTTATTACTGATTTTAAACTTTTCTTCTAAACTCTAATGCAGGACACTTTGGCAGCAATCTCAGAAGTCGTTTATGTTGATTTGCTGGAAGGAGATACCGAATGCCATGCTAGATTTAAAACCCCTGAGGACGCTCAAGCCGTAATAAATGCATATGCAGAAATTAAAAAGAAGCACTGCTGGAAACTCGAGGTCCTTGCTGGTGATCACAAACAAAGGTATTGGCAGAAGATTTTGGTTGATAGGCCAAACTCGATCAGCCTCGGGAAAAGAAAAGAGGCACTGAAAAGTTAATCACCAAAGCAGAAAAGATTAGACTGGCAAAGACTCAACAAGCAAGTAAACACATAAGGTTTTCTGAATATGATTGAAAAAAATTACAGTTCACCTCTTGATATTTCACTGGATACTTGAGCTGTTCTTAGGAAATTCATTTTTACTGTGATAGTACTACATAATAAGTGTTTTTTTTAAACCTACATTTAATTAAAAGAAATACCTTTGTAACAAAAAACACTTGTATCCCCTTAAAGCTATTGAAATAAATAAAAATTTTAAAAAAAGAAATACCTTTGTTCCTCAACTTGTAAATAAAACTTTTTTTCTAGGGACAAGTACGTTGTATACCACAGTTTTTCATTAGACATTTTATTTGTTGAAATTCCCTTGTAAGTCAACCTCAAGTGATTTAGTAAATAAATTTGTTTTGAGCATTATTTTGAAATGCGTTAATTTTGTTTTTATATTGCAAAAACAATACATGATTGCAAAACTAACACTATATGAATATAAAGTTTTGTTTTGTTTTAGAGATGATGTCTTGCTCTGTCACCCGGGCTGGAGTGCAGTGGTAGATCACAGCTCACTGCAGCCTGGAACTCCTGGGCTCAAGGAATCCTCCTGGCTCAGCCTCCCCAGTAGCTGGGACTATAGGCTCCTGCCACCATGCCCTGCT